TAATGAATTATCAGGTATTTATTATCCGACTAGTTGTAATTTAGCTTATCAATTAATGATGATTAGTGATTGTTTTGCAAAATTATTGGAAAATAAATTTAAAAGTATTGTTGAAATAATGGAAAATAAATTTAAAAATTATTGGAAGAACATTTCTCTTCTTTATTGCTTAACTACAATATTAGATCCTACGATTACGAAAGATGGTTTAGATATTTTACTTAAAACATATTATGAAAATATGAATATTGAAATTGGAAATAAAAAGGAAGAAATTAATAGTTTATTATTTGAAATGTATGGTTTATATGAATTTGAAATAACAGGGAATAATAAAAATTCTACAACTTGTACAGCTGCATCTTCCACTTTTGAACTTAAGTCTAATAGTGGAAATGAAAAACTTTTTTATCTAATAAGTAAGAGGCGAAAATCCACTGTCTCGACAACAAGTTCATTTACTTAACTTAATTTTTATTTATAAACAAATTTTTCTATCATAAGTGATTCTTCTTTTACCTCAGATGGAACAAAAGATTTTGATATTTTAGCCTAATGGAGTGAACCTGCAAAAAATTATCTAGTTCCCACCACCATAGCATGTGGTCTATTAACCCCTCCAGTGTCTACAGTTCTATTGAAGTCTTGTTTTAGTGCAATTACTAGGGTTTTGGACAACAAGAGAAGCTATATGAATGATAAAAGTCTAGAGATATTCATTTACTTTAAAAATTGGTTGGATGCTGAAAATAGATTACAAGACAAAGGAGGTCATGACAATATACATGTTTCACTTGAAGAAGACGATCAAAGTCAAAAACAATAGGAGAAAATGATGAAACGAATATTTTTTGTATACTCAATAGTTGTATAGTATTTTTTTCAAATTATTGTAAATTTTATTTTAATTTATTTGATATTTTTTAATAACGTAATTTTTTATTTTCAATATGCAACCATAATGTATTTTTTATATTTTATTAATTTATTCCATTTTCCAATTTTCAAATTTCATTTATCCAACCATTGTATGCTTTGTATCATTCGAATTTAAATGAAATAAAATTTCTATTTTTCTTTGTTATTCACTTTGAGTTTTTGTCTCTTTGAGTTCTTATTTGGTTAAGTATTTTTTTTATTTCTTTGTTAAATTTCTTATTTTTTCAAATAGTTCCCAAAGGAAAGTTAAATATTTTAGTTTTACTTAGCAAAGGAATAAAAAATCAAAAATGTCAAAAAAAAAACAAAAAAAAATCAGTCTGACCCGATTCCGCCCATGCCCAAGGCCCAGCCTATGGCCCAACCTAGGGGTAAGCATTCGGTTTATCCGTCTAAAAACCGAACCGAACAAACTGAAATTTTAAAAGCCGACCCAAAACTGAATTAGAGGAAAATCAAAATAATTGAAGCCAAAAATTCCGGTTTGGTTTTCGTTTATTTCAATTAAAGCCAAATTTCAAAAATATATACTATATTCTATATTATATATATCATAAATATAATATATAAATATATATTATGAAATCAAATTTTATTATATTATATATTAATATATAAATATATTATATATTAAATATAATATGTTATATATTATATATTACATGCTATATAGCAAAGTTCGGTAATTTGGTTTTTCTAGTTAACCAAATTTCTAATTCTAAAACTGAAACCAAAACCAAAATTTTTTGTTCATTTTTTTCGATTTTAACTGAATAATGCTCACCCCTAGTCCAGCCCGGCATAGCCCAAGCCCATGGCATGGTCTATAGCCTGGCTGACTCAGACACGGGCCCATATGGACTTGGGCTGTGGGCTGTGCCAAGCCAACCCCCAAATTATCCCCGAGGAGGGCGGCATGGCCCATTTTACACCTCTATGGAAAAATGCCTTTTTTATACTAAAACTAGAGCAAGGATATGTTTCAATTTGGAAGTAGCGTAATGTATAAATACAAATATAAAGTGTAAAACCTTGTAGTTTGTATATACTTGCACTGTATATTTGTATTTGTACTCTTTTCAAACTGAACAAAAATATTTTGATGTAATCTATTTGGTCGTTACGGTAGGGGTGCTCATGAAAACATGAAAAACCATAAATGCAGGTAACCAAACTGATTGATTGATTGATTTGGTTTAAGGAAAAACCAAAAAACCAATCAATCAAGCTGGTTACGAATTAATTTGGTTCAATTTTGTTTTGAAAGTTTCAATTTGATTAAGAAAATATGTTCAACTTTGGTTAACTGAACCATGAACACCCTTACTGCACACAGAACGCAAAGCAAATATCGACACAATAATCGAAATGCTTAATTGGCATCCCTTAAAAATGGGATGCATGGCATATTAAAACTAAGTTGCCTTGAATTCGTGATTTCAACTGAATTTAGGGGACGTTCTACAATGTAAATTGTTTTCTTATTGCCAATTCCAAAAATAAATCAAAGGTCAAAATCATAACACTAAAAACAAATTCTTGGTTGTGTGTGTATTTTTTGTTTTTAAAATTAAAACAAAAGACATGTTTTTGAATCTGGTTTCAAGGGCGTATTTTCATCTGATTATTCAACATCATATTCCATAAATCATAGAATTTCTATTTTAGAAAATTTATTTTTGTTTTAAAAACTAATATTTTATTAATTTCAAGAACATGTATTGTTTTTTGAAACAAAACCAACTTGTTTTCCCTTTTAAAACAAAAATAGAATTCAAGAACATGTTTTTATTTTTTCACTGATGTAGCAACTCCAAAAACTATTGAAAACAAAAACATTCCTGTTGTGGAATGCCCCCTTCATGCACTATTTTCAAAAATAAACTGACCAATTTAATGCACTATTTTCAGCATAAAAATAATGTATTAGTTTGTTTCTCACATATTAATGTATAATTGTTTCTTCATGTAAAGTTGACAATAATTTGAGAGTTGAGATGTGCATCATCATGTAATGCACTACTATTATTAACATTCCTGTCTATCTGTTGCTTCACAGTCTAGGCATGGGATCAAACCTGCAGAATCGCAGGCTCTCTGATGTATGGCCAGCGGGCCTCATGTGCAGCTTGCTCTGCCCCACCCCACGGTTTTCAAAACCGGACCCAATCAGACGGGCAGACCAGAAAACCCACGAACTGGTCAAGTAACTGCTTCGATTTCACCCTAAAACCATTTTTTGACCAAAAATCATAGATTTAGTCAGCAGCCCGCTGACCCAGACAGTCAAACCATCAAACGGGACAAGAGTTTTAGTCATTTTTTGTTTTTTTTATTCTCTTAAATTAAAATAGGCCATCCATTCAAACCAAACGGTCACCATTCAGCCTGGGAACCTGTCCCCAGAACAGTTTTCTGTCCAGTCCCGGTTTTAAAAACCTTGCCCCATACCCATAACCCCTCCAACCAATTCAGACCACTCCAGAGCGCTCCTCGATGTGTGGCTGCATTGTGCTCTGGGGGTTGAGTGGGGAGCGCTCCGTGGGAAACCAATCCAGACTCCCTTCCAACCCCTGGTAGCAGTGGGATTAGACATTTAGACCCAAGTCTGCCGAAGCGAGCCAGCGACCATACCAACAGGCCCAACTATCAGTTGATAGTTATTAGCTTCTAAGAATTTATATGATTTGAGTACTTATTGTATTTATGTATGTTTCCCTTGTGCATGACTGCAAATATCCTCGTCATTCCACTGCATCTGGGCCAGTTCAAGCAGCTTCTTTAATTGCTGAAGCAAAAGCCCTGATTGAAGCAGTGAAAGCAGCAATTTTTTTTAACTTGGATTATGTTATTTTTGAATCGGACTGTAAAGTTTTAGTTGACAGTGTTTGTTCTGCTGAAGATAACTGCCATCGTGATATAATCTTTTTCTGTCTGGACTTAAGGAAGCTATGTCATAGCAGGTCCTGTGTCTTTAATTGGGTCCCTCGAGGAGCTAATGGGGTGGCTCACAAGCTTGCCATTAAAGGCCTCTCCGATCAATTCCATTTTGCTGAATCTATGCCGATGTGGACCATGTGGTTAGCAGATGCTGTGCGTTTGGATTTGAATAGCCTGATGTGTTGGTTTGTCTGTTTTTTTTTTTTTTTCTGGTTTATGTTGGTCTGTATTTGTATCTCTTTGTTTCTCTGTTCTGTTTTTGTTGAATGAAGTGCTTTTTCTACCCCTAAAAAAAATTGTTTCCTAACTTTTATCTTAACATGCCTCTAGAAATTGCCTTGTCTTCCTAAGTAGTCTTTGGGATACCAACATATTTGTCAAGGCGACGCCTAGGCGACAAGGCGCCCTTGGAGGCTTGCCTCACCCAGTCGCCTAGCAGTTTTGTATTGTCTTATAAAATACTTTTTAAATTGTTACTTTTTTTAGATTATAATTATAAAATAGACATTATTAAACAAAAATATTCACTTTTTGTGTTTATAAACTAATTTCTTTTTATTATTTTCTTATTTGTTAGGGTTTAATCAACACAAACATTGCTAACTGCTGTATTGAACCCTCAAAAGACTTCAGAATTTGAACAATAAGGAAAAAACTTAAAGTTTTATCTAATCAACACATTTCTTCCTCCACATCTTCTTCTTTTCCTTCTTCTTCTTCCACCTTTTCTTTTTCTTCTTTTCCTATAACAAAAATAGGGGTTCAGTCCCCATATTTTTTGATTTTTCTTCTTTCTTCTTTTTCTTCTCATAAATATGTTAATTTTCTAAACATAAACATGAAGTTTATAATTTTCTTATGAAAATTATGGATAGTTATTAAGGAAAGATGGTTATGGAACCTAAGGAACTACCTAGGATATATATTTCACTTAAAAAAATCCATTGCCTAGACGCTCCCCTGTCACCTAGCCTCGCCTTGGCACCTTGAAAACTATTGGATACCAATACTTTGAACTTGGATCCAACATAAGAAAGGATTACCCCGTGGGAGATATATGTCAAAACAGAGTTGTCTTTTCCACCTGATCTGAAGATTATGATTGGTCTCCACTGGAGAGCTTCTCTAAAGCCTCAAAAGCATGGCTCTCGTTAATAGTAAATCAATGAAAGATGCAAAGCACACATTTACACTTGTCTATCATGACCTTTTTAAGAAATGACTACAAGTCTACAACATCTGCCAAAAAGTAAAACATCTTCCAAATTCAAAGAACTTTAACCAAATATATATACATTATATAAATTTAACACATCATGCTTATGTGCAGAAAGAAAGAGAACTGCACAACTAAACCTCGATCTGTAACCACAAGATTGGCTTTTTTTTCAGAATCCAAAAGAGGAGATATAGAAAAACCCAAATCCCGATTTGTCATCTAGAAAGAAATACAAAGGCAAAAAATCAATACCATTCACAAATTACAGGAACGACCACAAGAATTCAGCGCAAGGCCCAGTTGACAACTCTAAGTGAAGTCCCAGAAGCCATTTCTATTCCTGCTAGCACTAAAGAATCTGGAAGCTCCA